ATATACATATAAACTGGAAAAAAACTTTACAATATTAAAAATGTATAATATAAACCCATTTTAAACACATCACAGTTTGAGATATACATATAAACTGGAAAAAAACTTTACAATATTAAAAATGTATAATATAAACCCATTTTAAACACATCACAGTTTGAGATATACATATAAACTGGAAAAAAACTTTACAATATTAAAAATGTATAATATAAACCCATTTTAAACACATCACAGTTTGAGATATACATATAAACTGGAAAAAACTTTATAATATTAAAAATGTAAAATATAAACCCATTTTAAGCATATCACAGTTTGAGATATACATATAAACTGGAAAAAAACTTTACAATATTAAAAATGTAAAATATAAACCTATCTTAAACACATCACAGTTTGAGGTATAACTATGAGCAATAAGTGATAAAATAGTAGAAATCTATATGTCACTAATGAAAATCATTATGCCTATGTTCCTATTGATACGTGTATATCATGTAATTTCTGGCTATCTAAGGTGCAACCCTAAGGTTGTCAACTAGCACTGAACTCAATTTTGAAACATAACGCCCACTCCACAAAAAATAGTAATATTAACATTTATTGAAACTTCAAAACTGTTTGTTTTGTTTGCTGTTCCTTGAATTTCGTGCAAAGCTACTCGAGGAGGGCTATTTGTGCTAGCCATCCCTAATTTAGGTAGTAAACAGCACCCATCGTCAACTCTTGGGCTACTATAATTGAATAGTGGGATTGAACGTCACATTATAACGCCCCCAATGACTGAAAGGGCGAGCATGTTCGGTGATAGGACTCAAACCTGCAACCCGCTTATTGCCAACTGAGTGCCCTAACCACCACACCATTACCAAGCCAAGTCGATTTGTAGAACAAACTTATAAAATTATACGTTTTTATATTACAATAGAATAACAAAAAGGAAACGTTTAAAATAATAAAAATGTTCGCATCATAAGTTAAGTGTGTTATACGAAACTAAACCTTCTTATTGTAAGGCCTTAGGTCCATCTTACAGACATGGCGTCATAAATCGGTACTCAGAAGGTATAAACTTCGGAAGTTTAGGCAAGAATTTATGGAAATACTCTTTATACTACACAAATATAATGCTAATATATCAAATAATACATCAACTATGGTTGAGAAAATAAATTAATTACAATATAGTGAACAATATATGTGTAATAAACTGGTGTCTTAAATGGAACACGATTTTGTGAATTATATCTTTGAGGCTGTCGTTCTTAAACTAAAAGTGTATGCTAATAGATACAAGCTTTTGGTGAAAGTCACATTAGCGTTCAAGTTCATGATCGTAACAACAATAAAAAAAACTTTATAAGTTTTCTGTCGCCCTATGTCCATATTGTTGATATAGGTATCGCCCCATGTTCATATTGTTGATACAGTTAAATTGGAAATGAGAATTAAATTATACGACTGTAAATGTAAGCCCCGTATCGGAAAGGTTGCTTTTTTGTTTGCTTGTTCTGAGATTAAACGTTATTGTGGGTTTCAATGTGCTCTGATGATGTTTATATAGATTGCGGTATGAGATAGACAAGATTGAATACTGTAAATTGAATCTATGAATCATTGTAAGATAAGAGCAGTCATTCTTGAAAGAACCACATATCTTAAAAAAGTGGGTGTGTAACCAATAGCGTTAAACACTAACTTATATGATAGGAAGAACGGACGGACGGACAAAAGTTTGTGATTAATGACTGAAGACAACAAAGATGTGTGCCTATCACAGGAACTATATGCGTATAACATCTTAAACAAATATTAGCACATTTTGTTGTACTATGCAGTAGTTGAACAGACTTATAGGGTGTTTTATTACTTACCTGTACAATTAGATGCAGGAGTTGTTCTAAAGTTACTTTCTATTTAGGAAATACAAGAATATGCAGGAAATTATCCAGGTTGTTTGATATATTTTGTTAAACTTAATCCAGTGAAGCTTTAGAGGTTCTGTTTCTCCATTGATCAGAACCACTATTTAGTCATCACTCGTTATACAAGTATAGTGTTCCAAAAGTTCAAAGTATATGTACCTTATAGAGAGTTCTGTCACAGAGAGAGACTACAATGTAAGGCCGAAAGGCAGAAAAGATTGAACTGGGAAAAGAAGAATACAACAAAGCCAGTGAATGGATCCACGGAAAAATACTATAGTTAAGTTAAGAAAAAGGTAGATGAAGATGGAATATTAGGACAAAATCATCATGTTAATGGGGTTATCTCATTAGCAACCATAGTTATGTGCTTAGACTTTTATCATTGCATCGTACAACAACTCTGTAATTATGACAGTAAGTTAAAAACTGTGTTCTCTAGTATGCTTATTAATTGTGCTTTAAACTAAACTGAATATTAGCTAATTTATTCCAACGTTACTTAACATGAGTCACTTTGTTAAAAAAAAGGTAAACATACATTATATTCATCATTTTAGAAGTTCATATTGTTTAATAGTTCAATGTTTAATACACATTTTCTTACATTTACACTTACGGTAGATATTGTTGTACTGCTTTGTCATTTGATTTCAGCTATCAGACCCACTATTTAGTTCATATTGTTATTTACATTTACAAAAGATAGTCAGGTTAAGTGTTGGTATACTTATTGAGACAACCATGGTTAGTTATTTTGTTTAAAATAAGGGAAAGATATGAAAATGATAACCTTAACCACTGGTCGTATATTATACGGCTTAAGAATAATAGATTTAGCAAAATATAGCAGCAAATATGAACCAAATAAACAAGCAATTAGACAATATAATTATAACCTTAACCACTGGTCGTATATTATACGGCTTAAGAATAATAGATTTAGCAAAATATAGCAGCAAATATGAACGAAATAAACAAACAATTAGACAATATAATTATAACCTTAACCACTGGTCGTATATTATACGGCTTAAGAATAATAGATTTAGCAAAATATAGCAGCAAATATGAACCAAATAAACAAACAATTAGACGATATAATTATCTAAAACTATTGGGAATTCATTTTAAAAATTACAAGTTAATGTATCACGTAGTTTAGAATTATGCTGCTGTCAAAACCTTTAACGTAAACTGAATATTTGTCTTGCACGTATAACTGTGGTGTACTACAGAAAAGATGCAATACAATCTGTCCTTTGCTTCATTTACAACATTGTTCGTCTGACATATGAACGAACAAGACAACGTTTTAATGTAAAAGTCAAAGCTTTAGAAACCCTTTTTTTAAATTATTTTTATGTACATTGTATATTTACATAAGAGAAATAAAACAGTAGTTGTTTAAGATAAACCTCGCGTAGCTACTTTTTTAACACTAACAACTTTAAAACTATCACGAAACATGCCCATGATAAGCCAGTACGCACGTATTCAAAGGAAATAAAAATGCTTTTCGTTTTTAGTGATGAATGCATAATACAAACTATGTTGATAATCGTGCAATGAAATAATAGATTAAAGGAAATCAGACGTTTCAAATAAGGTTTATTGCAGCTTAAGTCCTTGCTATGTATTTCTTTCTTACTTGCCTCGTAAATGATTTTATATTTCATTCTTTATTGTTACATCAAACAATAAAATATGTTGTTTTTTATTCCGCAACGTAACAAAGTTATGTACTTCAAAGAATAATTGTACGGTAGCTCAATTAACTTTCAGGTTGAACGAAATTTTTAAAACATTTTATTAAATCTAATTTCATTTATAAACAAACATTGTTAGTTTTCTAGAACACGATGATGGCATTGTTATCTAATTATACCGGGATGAAGCTTTCATTAGACCGAATGTAAATGGATACAACAACAGAATGTAACTTCTTATGGCTACCCACGATATAATTGGTGACATAGCATAGTGTCAAGCCTTTTCTTATCAAGACACTAACAGACAAAGAAGTGAATCGTTCATTGAGCGCTAGAACCCCCTAGAGAAACTTAAGCTTTCAGATGGAATACTCCATTGGATAAAGTGATGACTACAACAAGGGATCTATCTTCTTTTCTGTTGGTATTCGATTGTGACTTATTGTGTATCCGGAGCGTGAAGAAGACATTCACGTATACCACTAGGGGCCACATACAACTAGAACGCAGCAGAGTTCACGTGCTCATAGTGCTCGCGTGGATAGGAGAATGTGATACATGCGCGACTCCAGTGGTCGTTCAAGTTGACTTGCGTGGCAATGAAGAAAATATACATTTTGCAATTGCTTTACGTGCCAGAGATTCTGCGACTCAGTAGTTAGTCTCATCAGCCACTATCACAGACTCCCTCACTATGAAATATTATTAGTGCAATGAGAAATTGAAACAGTCCATCTTAAAAACTTAAATCTGAAGGTTCTTGAATGTGAGCTGTACAGTCTGGTAGTAACCTGTTTGCTTTCTCCAAGATGACTATTCAAGTGGACAATGTCCAGTAATCGAACTGTGATACATATTTGCAGTCTCCTGTCCAAATGACCAGTAACAGTGGCCTGAGTTATTCGGTAGGAAAACATTTCTACATGCTTAGCCTTTATGAAAATGTAAATAACAGCTTTTATTCTGCTTTGCTGTGAGCTAAGCCAGCGTATTATCCAAAAATAATTAGTATTTGTGTGTGACACAGAAAACTTTTCTTTACTGACCAAAAGTTTAGACGATAATACATAACAATCACAGAGCGGTTAATGAAATGAAACTAGCGAATCACCATAGAAACTTATTACGTCTATATCAACATTTTCTTCGCACCATAACATCATATCATTGTGTGTATTACATGATGCAAATATCACTAAAAAAGATATTTTTTTCTATTGTAAAACTGGAACTTACTTGAATGGCATATATTATATTTGGAAACTTTAAAATAAATGTGATGCTACTTATAATGTGAGGACCAGTTTCTACTTTGAGATGTAATTAAATTATTTATGTATGTATTATATGTATTATACTTATTAATTTATTCATATGCATAATCCACATATTTTTAGTCATATTGTTCTAATTAATGTTTACATGAGATGAAGGCTAACTGTGTATAATGTTAAACGATATAAATCCTTCCTTTTTTTTTTTGACTGGTCAAAAATTTAGCTTTATCCAACCATAACGAATGACTTTACACAAAGTCAAATGACAGAACTGAACAATGGCTGATAGTTTATACCACAGTTAGCCATACTGTGTGAACTAATGCTTTAATAACAAGTTTGTTCTACGTGTAACTATACAGTTGTCAAAATGTGCTGAGTGAAAAACAGTCTTTTCCATTTTTGCAGGTGAGGCGATACCGCTGGTCATGCTTATCTGGACCAAGCCTTCAGCGATCACTGAAAACGGTTTGAAGCTAACTTTGCATCATTTATGCCAGTATTTGTATGTATATAAAACTGACCAAGGACGTAGTCGAGTGTTGGTGAGTTCAGATGCCAGAGTGGACCATCTTTGGTCAGCTAGAGAGTCAAAAAGTGAATCAACTCGAATTTTGTTTTTCTCAGGCTATCTGGACTTTATATTAAACTTTCATCGTGCTCACGACGACCAATTCACCCGCCACCCTGACACACCTACCGCACCGCCCCCGACAGGCTCAGGGCGAGATGTCTTACTTCTTCCGCTTACACGACCTGATCGGGGGCCTCCATGTGCCTATCGACGATGGAGTAGACAAGCTAAACCGGAAGTACACGTTACTTGTCTTCCTGTTCCTCGCACTTCCCATTTTCACCAAGCAGTATATTGGCGATCCCATCCAGTGTTTCACTCCGACCTACTTTACAGACGCACAAGCTCGATACGTCAACAGCTACTGCTGGACAGCGTCCACCTACTACCTAGTGACAACAGATAACGTCGACGACACCACTGACCCGCCACAGCATCCCCCTGATATCCGATTCACCCCTGAAGAAATAGACTACAACGGATTAGACGTCTACACTGTACAGAGAAACAAGTTGCGTCGAATTAATGTAAGTTACTATCAGTGGTCCTCTGTAATTCTAATGGTACAAGGTGTTTGTTTTCATTTGCCTTTTATTATGTGGAGTGCTTGTGCACATAACGCAGGCATCAAACTCCGGCGATTGCTGAAACGGGCCTCTGATATTGCAGCACTGCCACCAGGATGTCAGCAGCGGGAATCTTTGTTAACCGAATTTGTCGACCAGTTCCATACTATTATAACCGGAAACGTTGGATGGTGTACTGACCCTTCCTGTCGTCTTCCCCTAATAGGTTGTCGTTGTGTTGCGGGACCGAGTCGCTATCTGGCTTTGTTATATATTTTAGTGAAGTTATTTTACTTAATCAACGTAGGTGTTCAGTTCATGCTCCTTAGCGCCTTTCTGGGTAAGGGGTATATCCGACATGGAATTGAAATATTGCGTCGCTTGGCGGCCAGCGGGGATTGGTGGAATTCCCCTCGGTTCCCTCTGCAGACTTTGTGTCAAGTTCGTGCCGCCATGCAAGGTGCCCTCCAAACCTACGTGTGTAGGTGTGTTCTACCCATCAACGTTTTTAACGAAAAAATTTATTCTGTAATTTGGTTTTACCTAGCCATTCTTTTTCCACTAAATGCAGTTAGTCTATTATTGTGGATCTGGCGAACCTTCCCTTGTAACCGACTTGCCTTTATCAGACTTTGCTTGTGGAGAACAAGACTGGTCAACATGAGTGAAGTATCTAGATCAGCTCGAAAAATCTCATCCAATTATCTCGGCTGGGACGGGGTCTTCCTACTCCGACTGATTGAACATAATCATGGTAGCACCTTGGTTACAGCTATCGTCAGTAAGCTCTGGGAGTTCTACTCGACTCAACTGAAGGCACAGGAGGAGGGTAATAGCGACGTAGAAATGGCACCGATGCCTACAAGTTTGCCTTCTGTGGCACCATCTACTTCCTGGCATTCATGTCACGCCGGAGCTTGCCATCTTAGTCATTTCGGACGTCAGACTCTGCCATCTACAAAACGAAAACCTCCAAATAGTTACTGGGGGAAATGTTCTTAACAGAACCATTTATATTAGATATTTTCGTCTTTAAGTTTAAAGTTTTAAATTAGATAGTTTTAGAAGGCGCCTAGAGTGAAATAACGTTAGAAAACAACACTAATCCTTCAAGTGATGGAAACATCTGTATAGTTATTCTGATCCAGAGCCTATGTTAGATACCAGTCATCTGATCATGTTTGTGCAAGGTCGAAATCATCAAATATACGGAAATGTTTAAATTTAGGATTATATGTTAAATAAATGTTTGAAATGCAATGATATTTTCCTTAATCGATCTTAGATTTTTTAAGATGTTAAAGCTTTGAGTATTCGTAAATCAACTCTTCAAACACATTATCAACATTTTTTTTCAGCATCAATTCGAACAACTTACAAGTCACTCAAAACCAAATATAAGAATAGTATCAATAAGTCAGTGTTACATAATGGTCAATAAAGCTACTATGTTTCAGTTACCCTAACATTTAACATTAGCATGCGAATCAATAGCTGAGGAATTAGTTAACTTGTCCAGTAAACGTAATTATAATGAGCGTATATATATATATATACACATATGTATGGTGGGGCCTGTACAAGACATACCTTTCAAGGAAAAATATAGTTAGAAAAAGAGTTTTCTGTCACATTTTATAAAACGTGTAGAAAGGTTTTGTACTGTTACAGTAACAAACACTCTTCAAGTAAATCAATTAGTTGAACATCTGTGAGAAACACACTTTTGTAATCACGCTACAGCAAATTCAAATTAGATTGTTTTCAGTAAAAGAATACAAAACTCTTGAAAAGAGAAATACATTACTATCAAAAAAATTTTACTGAAAAAAAAATATAAACCGTATATTGTGGTCGATTTTTTATTTTATGTTATATTGTTGTAATATTATATTTTCCTTCATGTTATTGTTTTATTTTGAGTGTGTTTTGATATGATATAAATTATATTATTGCAAAATAATCATGTTTTTAAGTTTGTTTTTCAAGAAAAACGCTTAAATAAGAGTTATTAAACAATCACTCTTTTAATTAAAACATCGTTTAATTATAATAAACGGTACACATTTCTCATTCGTTGCAGAAAAGGACATGTTAGTGTAGTATAAATCTTCAAAGAGACCACGTGAGATTACATAAAATCGAATGCGAGCAAACTTAGTTGTTCAACTCTGAGGTACAATTCCAAACTGATACAAAGGTTTTATTATATCTGATTATATTAATAGGAGACTGCCCATTTAACATTTCTCCCACTAAAACCTCGTTGGGAGAACTGAAATGTATGAATAGTTTATGAAACAGTAATTAAACGTTTGACTGTAGCGTCAATTCTATTTTTTCGAGAGCATTTTCTGGTTTAGTTCATTTTAACGCAAAATCAATACATTCTGGTTCCGAACTGTCTTTTAGTCTCCTTGTTTTGCTTTTAAGTATTGGATACGTATTCTTCTATTTTTTTAAATTCCAATGGATCTCATAAGGGTTATTCCGGTATTGAATAGTTTATGGAGTATCTTGTTATTTTTATCCAAACTCTTTCCGATCACACGACCAGTTCCAAGAAAGAAGTTTACTTTACCAAATTTGGCATAACTTCTGAATTCTTAAAAGTCCTTATAGTATTTCAAGTTCATAAAATTAAACAAAAAAAATTCTTGCTCTTAAGCATAAAAAACAATTTACATTTCTTTAGTGAATTGTTTTTAACAAAATTTTCTGCTCAAAGCAGTTGAAAGGTAACCTAAGTTTTCAACATTTTAGCTGTGACGAGGCATAACTATTCTTATTAAACAACGTAAATAGCATCGATGTGTTACTTTATATGCAAAAGAAGTGTCAGATGACTAGCGATGTGATCTGAAATGCAAATTTATGCAGTAGGAGATTATTTATAATTTGATACTACATGCTTTACAGGTCCATTAATAATCAGAAGTTGTTGTTGTTGTTTTAAAAAAAGAACACAAGTGCAAGTAGTGCATAAAATGAGTAAATCGTTGAGGTGCTGGAGTAATATGGCCCATTCATCCATCAACATCTTCTAGTTGATCAACGCTGCTGAGAAGTGAATTAAGTGCTACCAGGCATCTTCCCGGAACAACCATTCAAGTTTAAACGGATAGAAATCTAGTGTGGACCATTCCATTCTCTAAATATCCTGTTATTTCAGAAAGTTAAATTTTAACTAGTTGAATCCGGAGAAGATGCATGTTGTCATCCATGAAACGGAAGACCTCACCAGCTGGACCAACAATAATGTAATACAAATAAAGTAAGACTGTAGGCTTATATTGTGTGTATTTCATAGTTCTATACCGTAGCTTATAAAGGTCAGTGTGGCCAACAGGACTAATCCTTCTCTAGACCGATATACCATCATCGCCACATGCATTTTGGGTTGGAAATGATCTCATCCACTCTCCATATTTGTACAGTATTGCATCTAGCTGCAATATAAATCGTGATTCGTCTGTGAACAGATTAGTTGTTCCCCTGCTGTTTGACCAATCCACATGTTCATGATACCATTGAAGTCGAGCTGTTTTGTAGTGATGGGCTCTACACTATTGGCATTCTCGAACAAAGTTAAACTTTATGATGCCTGTTTCTGAACGTTTTATGTACTGACCTATCGTACAGCTGCTGCTCTTAGCTGTTCACTCAGTGGGAAAGCTGACGCCCGCTAGTTGCATGGATATTGTCAAATAACGTCGGCTAGCCAAGTTTTTCACAATGTACTACCCTAACCAAGTCTTAAGTTGATTTCATTGGTGGTCTGAACGCCAATCCGCATCCTCCTAACCGTACTTAGTAAGACTTGTAGCCACTCTGTGACGACCTATGTTTGATCCGCCTCTATCCGACCTCTTGTTTTCTTCATCGTGGAAGTGTCCAAGCGTCTTTTTAGGGTCCTGTTATGTTTTTCAAATCTGAATCTCTTTGTACAAACTGCTGGTACTGCTGGTGTTCAAACTGCTAACTGAGAACACACTGTGTTTCCTTCCCTCGTATATCTACCGTAATGTGCATATCAGATTACATGACCAGCCACCTGACAGTTGTTAACATCAAAATACATTCAGAAGACGCTACTGACATTATATAATAATACTTGTTGTGCCTTAGCATAGCTAAAATATAGAAAACTTTGATTATCTCTTAACTATTTGAAACAGTGCTAGTGATCCTTCCAATTATTTACAAATTTTGATGACCACTAACCAAATATTTATCATCTTAACCTAGTTTTAACTATGACAGTTTCTTCTATCGAGTTGATAAAATAAGTTTTTAACAATATATACATTTTCTGTTTACTACTATAATGTAAGACCTATAACTTCAATTATCTTCCTAAACTAGCTAAACATATTTTTATGCTTTAGAAAGGATTGCACTGAGGTTGGCCAATTTTTACGTAATTAAAATAAATAACTTGGTGATTAGGGTAGTTGACTTGCGATCTTAAGGGTAGTGGCTTCATATCTCGTCACCGAATATGCTCGCCCTTTCAGCCGTGGGGACGTTATAATATGACGGCCGGTCCTATTGTTCGTTGGTAAAGAGTAGCCCATGAGTTGGCGGTGGGTGATGCTGACTAGCTGCTTTCCCTCTAGCCTATCTCTTTAAAATTAAAGACTGTTATTGCAGGTAGTTTTCGAGTACAGTTTTTGCTCGAAACTCAAATAACAAACAAATAAAATAAGTATCTAAGTAAAGCACAGAAGTCAAGCCGTTAGTGGAGTTACATTTAGTTGCATAAACGTCTTATATTTGAAAATTTATAAACTATTTTTAAAGAAATTTCAAGATTGTCCGTAATAGCTAGGAATGTTTTTCATGGGGAATGTTCTCTAACCTTAAATGATGGTTTTCACTGCCATGATATAAATTTACTCATAGTGTTGAACGAATGTTAAACAATTCACTGTGAGCTATAAACTAATGCATTTAAAATATTAAAAAACATTTATACAAATTTCAGATAGATTAACTTCAAGATACATTGACAAGTTGTGAGTGATCTTCAAGAATATAATTTTCCTTAAAGTTTTGGTGCTTTTTCTTTGTAATATGGTGACCTGAACTATATATTTATATACATATAGTAACTGCAGATAAAATATGTGAAAACCGGAGAGGAAGGCGGTCCTTCTTCTTCTTAAGAGCAGGACAGATACATAAGCTGAGCTTTTACGAACCGGGATACTACGCCTATAACAAGGTCGTTCGAAATTATTAGCGTACTCAAGTCGGAAAAGAGTTTTTCAAACAAAATGGAAAATACACATCCTCAGAAGATGAGGAACACAAGTGAAAAATCGTACTGAACAATAGTCAGAGGAATAGCTGGTAGAGCTTGCAGAGACAGGTATACAAACGACAAATTTCTGACTCAGTACGCGTCATCTGTTTAAGGCAGTCTTGATTTGCCCGGTTTGAATGACACGCTTGATAATTTGCATTCTAACTCTTAAAAGTAGTAATAATTCCCCAGTAAAAAAAGCAAACAACTGTCGTAATCTTTCTAGAATAGAAAACGGGTTGAACACGAATTTCCAAATCAGCTTTCTAGAATTAGAAATCGGATTAAAAATGTATGTAACACGAATTTACAAACCTGCAGAACACACATAAGCGATGCAACTTTTAAAGTAACATAACTGACCTTTAATCTCACTAAGCTTTAGTTGGATCTTACTAGATCTAGTTGGATAGATTCCTTTTATTCTTGAAGATTAATTAGCAAAAGCCCTACAACAGTTAAGCTCCTAAGCCTTTTTTTGAAGTTGGATCTTATTAGCTTTAAGGGCTTATATCAAGTTCATTCTTGGAGACTAATCAACAGAAGTCCCACAATAATTAATCCAAGGCATAAAACTGCATCTAATAAATAATATGTGGGTGATCCACTCTTTATATGATAAACTTATTCTACGAACTTCATTATTGCGAGGGAATAAATAAATGGCTAAGTCTTTTCTTAAAGGCATGTATTATTTAAATAATATGTTAAATAATCTTAAGTTGTTTTTTAATTTATAAAACAAATTCATTGGTCGTGGACAAAAGGTTCATGTGACAAGCATTGAAATTATAGTATTTAATTAACCTGTTTTAAAATATTTTCAGGATATTTAAAAAAGTCATAATGTCGAAATTATGAAAGCTACACGTCTCTGTGTTATTACTAAAGGTATAAGTATTTAATTGAATAATTTTGAATTGTAAAACAACGTCTGTGGAATTGATAACCT